ATTAATTCTATGTTCATCTCTCAGAAATGAACACATTATCAGCTTTGGAATCTAACAGACCCAGTTAAACTTCCTTTAATAGGGATAGATTTACTGTAGAGATTTAATATAACGGCACATGTAAACAACTTATACAAGTTATACATGTAATTAGTATGTAAATAAATCCATGAAAAATGTTATCTACTATTAAAATACCAAAAGTAAATTGGTTCCCAAAATAAATATAAACATTGTTATAAACACTGTCTATTCCATTGAAGGTCCTTATTGAGGGCAGGGGACGGTGGAGGAGAGAGTAAAGAAGGGTTAGGGGAGGAGAAAACCAAGGCAGACAATGGAAAAAAGAGTTATCTTTTGGAGCGGCCAAAAAATGTTCTGCCATTTGACAAAGGTGGTAGTTGTATTGTGAAGGTACTAAATGTCACAGAAATCATACACTGTAAAATAAGTATTTCGTTATGTGAATTTCTGCAATAAAGGAAAAAAGTGGGAAACAGGGAGACAATATAAGGGGGGGGGGGGTCAGAAACTGTTAAAAAGGTTAAATGGACCTAATATTCCTTTCTCTAAATTATTTTTAAGTCTGCTTCTAATCTCTTTTCAAATTCTCTTTTTAACAGAATAGCCAATAATGATAATGTTTAGGGCAAAACATATCCTTGTTAATGAAAATCCACTTATGGGCTACAAGTATAGCTCAGTAGTATAGAACTTGCCTGCACAAACCCCTGGGTTTGATCCCCACCAAATAAGTTGAGAGAGAGAGAGAGGAGACACACACACACACACACACACACACGGAGGAAGAGAAGGAAGAAAGAAGAGAAAACCAACATAAGATTCAGTGCGACTGAGAGATGAATATAGAATTAATAAAACATTTGAAAAGTTTCTTTAGAAAGAAAATGTATATAACAGATTAAGGAAGAACATAGATTCTTAAACCTGTAATACAAATACTTAGAATGGGTAAAGAAGCTCAGCATATAAAACAATGGATAAGTCTTTTTTTTTTTTAATTATTACATGTCAGAAGACTGAGCTCCAAGTATTTCCTTTTAATAACTTAAAGAATCTTCCCACAAAAAACTTTCCAATAAAAAAGGAAGTGAATAATTTCCTATAGATCCAGAAAAGAGGAAAGCATTTTTTTCATTTTCAACATTTCCCAAATTATGCTCCATGATACACTGTTTTGAAAAAATATTTAATATACCACAAAAAAAAAAAAAAGAAAAGAAAAAGGAGGTGGAAGGAAAAGAAATGAAAAGGAAAAAAGAAAAGTTACATACTACAATCTTACTCTTGGAAGATTCACAATGAATTGCAAAAGTTCTACAGTAGGAAAGCCAGTTCATCATTATTAAACTTATATTTTGATTTATTAGGGACTTAACAGTTCTCAAACTACGCCTCTTAAACACATGAAGCACCAATTTATTAAACTCTTTAGATTTATACCAGATCACATATAAATTAGATAATTAAAATATTAGCCCAAGGAACAACATTAAGATACATATAAAAAAAATAATCAATTATCTGAAGAAAACTTTCATATTACCACGAAGCAAATGCAAGAACTTAGTGGCAAGAAATAAGGAGGAGAAAAGATAGTAGTTAAGAGGAAAAGGAACTTTGGAAGAGTTATTAGCTCTTTAATTCCCCTTCTATGAGATGTCTCTGTCCTACTCTTTCAGTTCTGAATGCTTATGAAGCAAAACATTTGCAGTTAAGATGTTTAAAAAAAAAAAAAAAATTTAGTTTGGTTCACTTTCCCCCTTTCCCTTGATTTTTTTTTTACATTAATTCCTGATTCTTGATGGTTATCTCAAATGGAGAAGTTAAATATCGGTAAATATTTGCCTCAAAAATACTTTGAGTATCTCAAATGTAAATTCTCACATTGCCATAACAAAATATGCACCCTTATCAATAATAATACTGGATCATTACAAATATATAATTAAATAATAATGGATAGTTTAAGCATGAATATATTTGAAATTTAAGTTTATTTTACTCAAGGAAATGATGTAATGATGACCACAAAGACCAGACTCTGCACAACATTTTCTGATGGGTGGGAAAATCACAGGGAAACTATGGAATTAGAGAAAAGGGAATAATTTTAAATGCCCTTTGGATATCTTGACACAAAGGGAAGGCAAAGAAAAAATCTAACTGAAAATGATTTTAACACAAAAGCAAAAGGTATGTGAAAATGAAACATTTCCACTGAGGCGTTATCAACTTTGAACCAAAAATAAAGTCACTAGTGATTATTACAAATGTGGCTGATACAGTGTGAAGCAACCAAAAATAGCTATTTAGGCACTGGATACATCAACTGATCCCTTGGAGAACTCAATCCTAACAGGAATATTATTAGAAATTATGCTTTCATTTTAGTTTATAGAAAACACTACATCTTCCTTCCTGGTTACTGTTCATCCTTTTGGTTATAAAAGGGGAGGAGACTGAGTAACAGAAACTATCAATGTCTTACTGGCCATTTACTCACCAATCAAAAAATCAAAACAAAGGCTGGGTGTAATACCAGTGACTTGGGAGGCTGAGACAGGAGGATCAGAAGTTCAAAGACAGCCTCAGCAACTTAGCCAGATCGTAAGCAACTTAGCCAGACCCTAAGCAACTTGGCAAGACCCTGTCTCAAAATAAAAAATTAAAAAGGGCAAGGGATATGGCTAATACCAATATTATAATGGGTGACAAGATCAGGTGGCTAAAGGAACCACTGACTAAGTAACAATCCAGATACACAAGATTTTTTAGGAAAAAAAGTTCAGGAAAAAAAAAAACAGAAGCCTAAATAAAACAAACTACATAAAGATACACAGAATAAATTTCAACTTTGGTTACTTTACTTTGTAAAGTAAATATGTGAATCTTTTAATTCAAAGGCATAAAGACAGGAGTTATGAAATTAGAAGATGAGGGACAAAAATAGTTTCCAACAGAATTTTTTTGAAGTTATTATAATCTAAAGGTGTAAGCTCTAAAAACTGGACTCCATCGGTAACCTAAAAGATTATCAGTCACCCTTGGTGACTTATTCACACTAAATATAAAAATTAGTGTGCCAGATTAATTTATCATGAGAACCTTATACACATTAGAAAACTTGCCCTCTATTCAGAATACTCATACTTTTTCAGTGTGACTACAGGAATAATCTGGCTTGATTGAATTAATACTCGACTGAGTATAGGATTATAGTAATGTCAAGTAAATCTTCTTTTTTTTAAACTGGGGATTGAACCCAGGGGCGCTCTACCACTGAGCTACATTCCCAGACCTTTTTACTTTCAAACAGGGTATCACTAAGTTGTTGAGAGCCTTACTAAGTTGCTGAGGCTAACCTGAAACTTTCCACCCTCCTGTCTCAGCCTCTAGAGTCACTGGCACTTCAGGGGTGCACCACAAAGCCAATGAATTAAGTCATCATGAGATATCTCATTCAGACCATAAAGAGTCTGATAAACATTTCCGCATCACAACTGAAAATACATGTCTAGTGATCAATGGTACTATTCATGTCCCAGACTTGCCACCTCTCATGATTCAAAATTTACCTTCCTCATTTTTTTTTTTTCTTATGGCCTACTCCATTTTCTTTAGGTGTGTTAGTATCACTGACAGCTATATCTAGCTGCTGCTTCCATGGGTCTACAATGTTACGTAGCATCCCTGCACTGTGTCTTGCCTAACTATGAGAAGGCAAATTCATTTTCCTATTTTCAAGTGCTTAACAGTACCTCTGACATTCCCATGTACCACCTAGAAATTTAATAGAAGGTACAAAGAGATGATAATGATATCTAATTCTGAACACAATAAATGCCAAAAAAATTGAACGGAACGCAACTCAGTACTTCAAAAATGTAAATAGACTATAGTTCCAATCAAGTTGCTAAAAATTAACCACTTAAAAAAGCAACTTACATGCAGCTCATAAAAGGGCTTAATAGTTATATACTTATGCAAATATTATAAAAGGATTCTACATCTGTATGATGCTTTATAAATTACAAAGTACTTTCCCACCATTCCAAAACTTAATTCCCACAATCACCAACTATTTAAATTAAAAGGCTACACAAAGACATTTATGAAAGAGTATATGAAATCCAGAATTTTAACTTTTAAAGTCATTAAAGTTTATATTGACAATTTAGTGTTAATTTAGTCATGAATTTATATTTTTCTTCTGAAATCAGAAAAAAATTAAGATTATGCACAGCAGACAAATTCCCATGTAGTCTTGGGTCATAAATGTTTTAAAAAGTAATATTTAAGGGGCTGGGGATATGGCTCAAGTGGTAGCGCACTCTCCTGGCATACGTGAGAACTAGGTTTGATCCTCAGCACCACATAAAAATGAAATAAAGATACTGTGTCCACCTAAAACTAAAAAATAAATATTAAAAAAAGTAATATTTAAGTGGGTCTTGAGAAAGACACTGTTATGAACTGAATAATAATTATACTTAGAAAATTATGCAAAAGTGTTCAATGATTAATCTAGGCTTCGAATGCCAAGCAATTCCTTTCTTTAACCATTGTGCCAAACACTTTTCAGATTCTTGGTACAGGTGTGCCCCATTAAAAGCTGTTCTACAAAAAACTACATAGTATTTAATCTACCCAAGGATTTTCAGCCTAATCCCCAACTGTGGAAAAACAAAAAGACAAAAATATTGTAATGGAATCCAGGCACTAACCTAGTGAGAGGCATTTTACGGAATCTAAGAAATCACATCATCTAAGTACTTAATTAGGTTCTCATCAAATAAGCTGTAGTCCACTGAGTTAACATTAAGTTAAAAATAGTAAGTTAAAAAAAGGAGTTACAGAACATCATAAAGCCTACACCACAATGTTTTTCTTTTTTGTGTTTTGGAAATTTTTTCTAAGTGATAATATAAATATAATACATCAATATTTGAAATAAAAAAAATCAAAAGAGTTCTTACCTTACTACATCATCAATATTGTTCCTGTATACGCCTTCAAGTCTTTCTGCAGGAAATCCCATAGCAATAATGTTTGGATAAATATCTGAGTACTTAAATTAAGGAAATATCTGAAATATGCAAAATGCAAATATGCACAATTTTAAAACATTGGCTAATAAATAAAAAGGGTGTCCCCACTACAGCAAGTTATAAAACTGTGTGAAATGTATCTGTAACCTATGATGCATAATTAATAAATATTGGTAAATACATTATTTACAAAAAGATCCTCAAAACAATTTTATAGCAAAATAATGTTTAAACCCCTCTACTTAGTACACTGAAAATGCACCTAAAGTAAAAGGTAATTTCCACATTTATAGTACCTATGTATTAAAAAAAGAGCAAAACCCTAAGATTTTGTAAATTATAAAACTAATATATGGGGGGATAAAAACAACAAAAAAAAAATCTGCACTTGCCTGAAAAGACTTAACTGTAAGCTTCTAATTTTTCATGTTAAAAAAGGCACTAAGGTGTAAAAAGTGGATGAGTCTCAGGAAGTTATATTTAAGAACTGGCTATACCTCTAACTAGTTATATAATTTGGAGAAGTCATTTAAACTTTCTAAACCTCAATTTCCCATTTACATAATGATTATGTTCAAAGAGATAAACTCTTAAAAGTCCCTTCTAGTCCTGGCTATGACTCGATACATCAAACTGAGGTTGAAATTTTATTATTGTCACTTCTAACCAATGTAGTCAATATTTAGCATGCCCATTATATTCAATTATGCTATACATTACATGAAAACAAACTTCTATACTCAAAGTATTCCCAACTACCTACAAAAATCACCAACAATCTAGATTCCTGATTCTTGTCCAGCACACCAGCTTTCATTTGCTCTTATTCCATCAACCTTCTCTAATCTCATGATTTTCCAATACAGATCTTTCATACCAACCAAGTTAATTTGTGTAAAGTCTCCCATCACTAAAGATTTCTGCCTACCTACTTTTGAATCCATTTACCTTCCAAATACAATTCAAAATTCACCTGATCCAGTGCCCTTTTCTATATCTTTTAAATTTAGTCCTAGAAGACCTTATATTATCGATTTCAATGTTATTATGTTCTCCTCTTCTTCTTCTTTGTTTTGTTTTGTTTTTCTTCCATGTTGGGAATAAAGCTAGGGCCTCAAGAATGCTAGGCAAGCATTCCACCAAGTCACATCCCTAAGCCACATCCCCGATTCTCAACATTATTTTCAATCCAAAAATAATTTACCAAATTACCAAAAGGTTTCATTTTAATGTCATAAGAAAAGGTTATCTGAGAATTATATGTTCTATAAGATAACTACTAGAGAAATTTATAAATACTTTAAGCAAAAAAATACACAAGTCAAACTATACCATCTTTGGTATACATCTTTTGGTTACACTACATATTTTCTTGAACACCATTCACATACACATTTGCTTAAATCTGAATTTACACACACAAATAAATGAAAACTAATAAAAATGGTTGCTTAAAAGAGAATGGAAAGGGAAGAGAGAAGCCTAGGAAGAACAGATAGAAGCAAGACTGATGTCTATATCTTTGAATAATTTTGAACTTTTTGTTTTATTGTGTATGTGAGAGCAGTGCTAGGATGAACTCAGGGTCTTGCACATACTAAGCATGTGTTCCACCACTGAGTTAAAAAACCCAGTCAAAATTTTGATCTTTAAACCATTAACAATTTTTTAAAACATCCCACAAAGGGGTTGGGGGCATAGCTCTGTGGCACAGTAGTACTTGCCTAGCACATGAGACTGTGAGTTCAATCCACAGTAATGTTAAAAAAAAAAAAAAAAAGATTTTTGTTTATAAAAGCCTGTATTTTCTAGGCCTTTTCACTGAAATGGCTTATAAGCAATGTCACACAAACAGTAGTTTAACACTCCCAGAGCTCAGATTTTGCCTCTACTAATACATTAAAAGGTACTAACTTCTTGGGAAGAGATGATGCCAGATCTGGGGCAGGAAAGTTCATGTGAGCATACTCTTCTGTGGCTGAGAGCAAGGAAGAAAAATAGAAATTAATAGTAAATATTAAAGGCCATATGAGTTGACATAAAGGAGGTCTCAATGGCTATAATACTCTGAGCATCACAGAAAAAATTTAAATGAGTAAATTAAAACAACCTGAGAGCTGGGAATATAGCTCAGATGGTAGAGTGCTTTCCTAGCATGACAAAGCCCTGGGTTCAATCCCCAGCACCACCATTAAAAAAAAAAAAAAAAAAAAAAGAATAAAATGAAAATTCCTAAACCTATAAAGATACTCAAAACAATTAAAAAGTTAAAACAACAACAAAAACCCTTTCATCTGTCACCTTTTGAGATGGTGAAGTGAAGAATAGTTCTTCACTTTGAAAATTGGCAACAGTAGGGGATTCAAGTATTTAACTTGCTTTTTCTATAGGAAATACCTATCAGGACAACAAAACAGCCCACTTCATAAATTCTGCTTGAGGGAAAACCTGAAACTAGTAGATGTGAAAAAGACAGAAACAGAAGTCATTATTTTATTGGGTGTGGTGGCGCATACCTATAATCCCAGCAACTCCAAAGACTGAGTTAGGAGGATTGCAAGTTCAAGACCAGCCTTACCAACTTAGTGAGGCCCTAAGCAACTAAGTAAGACCCTGTCTTAAAAAATAAAAAGGGCTAGGATTGTGGCTCAGTGGTTAAGCACCCCTGGGTTCTAGCCCCAGTACTAAAAAATAAAATAAAATAAAAATACCAAAAATGGGTTGGGGGTGTGGTTCAGTGATAGAGCAACTTGCCTAGAATGTGAAGAGCCCAGGATTTGGTCTCCAGTACCACCCCCCCCAACACACACACACAAAGTAGACACATTTTGCAAGCCTTATTGATATAGGTAATGATAAATAATAATCAATCCAAGCAAGAGGCTGAGGGGGAAATAGGTTTTCTTAAGAGTCAAAATGATACTACAGAAAATACTTTCTAAAGTAAGGAGATGAACAATGGCAGAAAAAATTGTCATTGCCCAATCTCAGTGGCCAATCTCAGCATTACCAAGAATCAGATCAAATAACTTGATATAATACAGTATAAAGGACTGAGAATCATCTCTGATTACCAAGTATCTTGTACTTAAATTCACTTTTTAGATAAAAAGTTTAATTTACAGAAAAACACAGAACAAGCTAAATGACATTGAGAAAGTAAATCATACATATCAAAAGGTCTATAGGGCATGACCCAGTCTCTCAACAAGTCAGTACTATTTTTTTTTTTTTAAGAAACAGGTGGCTGCCCTTGATTTATAAAATCTTTAGGTTCCTAATGGCCAATATCACCAGTGCAATGGTAGCCCACATATTATTTTAGACAAATCAGTCATAAAAAAAAAAAAAATTTAAAGCCAAATAGAGAAACCTTTAATATAATCTGGGAATTAGATGAAATGAAAATTTCTTGAAGTGAAAAAGTAGACATTAAGACCATGAAGGGCAGGTTTCAAAATAGAATACTAGTAGTATAACACCACTTTGATAAAAGAATATGTATACATAGCCATGCAGATAGATATAGACAAAAAGACTACAAACTAAGGTACTAAAAGTAATTATCTCTAGGTAGTAGGAATTTTTATGATGTAGTATCAGTTCTGCATATTGTTTTTTTAAAAAGCTTAATTTCTAGGGGCTGGGATTGTGGCTCAGAGGTAGAGTGCTTGCCTACCATGCTTGGGGCCCTGGATTCGATCCTCAGTACTGCATAAAAATAAATGAGTGAAATAAAGGTATTGGGTCGAACTACAACTAAAAATAAATAAATAAAGCTTAATTTCTATTTAAAAAGTTTTGGCCAGGCACGGTGGTGCATGCCTGTAATCCCAGCAGCTCGGGAGGCTGAGGCAGGAGGATCATGAGTTCAAAGAGCCTCAGCAAAAAGCGAGACCTGCTGAGCAACTCAGTGAGACCTTGTCTCTTAAATAAAATACAAAATAGGTCTGGGGATGTGGCTCAGTGGTTGAGTGCCCCTGAGTTCAATCCCGGTACCCCCCCAAAAAAGGTTTTAACAAAAATATGACAGACTTAAATAACATTTACTTTATTTAAATGTTCACCTCCAGCCTTAAAGAGTTCTTATTAGAAAGACTCCGAAAGAAAACCATTAGGATTACCATTGCTAACATCACGAATATTAGCTATATCTTCCATTATTCTAAAATAACAAAGTCGCTTCATCTAAAACTGTAGCTTTTTTAATTATGAAAATGTTTTGGTATATTATATTCACTAATGATGGAAATACACAGAAGAGAGCAGAGGTTCAATCAAGCCTAAAGCAATATAATTCTTGAACTGAAGAATCTTTACTTTTTAACTCTCCCTTGAAGCACAAACATAAGATGGGAAACGGAAAAAATGAGGCCCCCAAGAGCAGCAGAAGAAAACCTAAAACAGTGGCAGCTATCACCAGTCTGGAATTACGATCTAAAAAGTTATAAATACATTTTGGTCAAAAATATAAATTGAAATTATTTAAGATTCCCTGAACAATACAACAAAAATTGTTTTACTAAAGGAAGGAATGCTTCCTACCATTAACAAAATTATCTGAAACTAACTTTTTCCTAGAAAAGTATAAAAGTCTATACAGCCCCTTAAAATGTGGTCAAACTAGGACTAAGCTCAAATGTATCCCTGCACTATAAATACTAATTAATGAAGCAAATAAACTGGCAAAGGATTTGGTTAACTTACCAATTAAATACACATATATGGATGTTAAATACTCATTAAACTCAGCTGGCCCCCTTCTTCACATAATTATTCAAACAAAAATTGAACATTCTGTGCAAGGGGCACAGGAAAACCCAAGGCTAAGCAAGAAAAAATTTCTGCCTTCAAAAATTCCTATTCTCTCAAAGACACACACAGAGACCCAAAATGGTACCAAAGGTCTTATTTTATAAAAGATCAAGACATTTTAAGAGCTAAAGAGAGAGGGACTTATTCTGCAGAGGCACAAATAAAGCTTCACCAAGTAGGTCAAATATATCCTAAGTAGTGTCACAAGCCTGTAAT